AATAGACAGTTTTAGTTTGGTCATCATATGATTAACAGCAACAAAACCTAGTTCCACATGATATGAAGTAAGAAAGGAATCAATAATCTGAATATCATTTTCCACATATTTATGACACATTTTTTTAAATTTGCATTTGCATTGTACTTTTTAACAGTTCTTCTTTGCAAATTGGTTCAACCTTTTAAGGATTTTTCATCCAAATATACACATTTAATTGCAAAATTTCTTAAAATCAATGTTCCATGTCGAACAGTACAGGGTGTCCCAATTTCGATGTCCGCATAGGCTATCTCCGAAACTAAGAGAGATAGAAAAAAGTAGCTTACATGTCATGATCTCGTTTTTCGAGAAAATGCTAATGCCGAAAACTCCGAACAGCTATCGTCTTTTGTTTTCGCCCTATCGGCAAAAACTGAAAATTTTGCGAAAACGACAATCGCAAATATCTCACTTATTATCAAAGATGGAGTATTATAAATAAAACATTATATGGGCAACTTTTTACGAAGAATTCAGTGGCGTAGGTAGAATTTTTTTCCCATCTTTTATTTTCGAGATTTTAGACGCAACTTTATTTTTTTAAATGGAAACCATAGTTGGCTATGACCTAAAATAATTTGTTATTTTCTTCTGATAACAAATATATATAGTTTGTGGGGTATATTTCTTATAGTTATTGAATAATTATCAAAAATTCATTTTGTTCTATCTAAAACCAATGTATTAAAAAGTTAATGTTGCTATGGTGATAACCATACATACTATGATGGAACATAATGTATCAAATAATTGCCAAAGTTGCTATGTTATCAGATAAGAATGCCACGTTAGCGGCGGAATTATATTTCACAAGGTATCCGGAAAGAAGACAACCGCACGTAAGAACCTTCAGCCGATTAGCAGAAAATTTAATAGATTTTTGGTCCTTCTCCAAACCACGTGCAAAAACATACCAAAATGACCTGCAAGAGGATCAAGTCAATATGTTGGCTTCACTTGCGATAAATCCTTCAACATCTTGCAAAGAAATTGAACAAGACATCTGACCCAACAGCCGCTGCTCCCGAATATGAAAGAAATATAAGTATAAACGATGAAATAAGAAGTATAAAAGATGATATTTAGAAAAATTAAAAAATCTGCTGTTTGTTCAAAATGTCATCTGGATCGATGAAGTTTCTGAGTGTTCAAAGAAGATTGGGGTTCAATATATGGTGTGCGCTTTTAGATAATAGATATTTGGCATATAGTATCTACCATAAAAACTTAAACTCAGGTAAATACCTCAATATATTAAGGCAGCACATTGAGCCTTTGGTCGACAATTTGCCATTAAATATGTCTCAAATGATATATTTTCAATATGACGGAGTGCCAGCACATAATGCCAGAGTTGTTAGTGAATTTTTAAATACTACATATTTGACAACGCAGTTTGGAGTGCCAAAAAACACAATATCAATATCTATACAATACAGGGTGTCTCACGTAACTGGTTCGTTAGAACTTTTTTAGGTTCCAGTATTCGTACAGTTTTGAAATTTTGGTAGTATGGGTTGTTCAGTCGGAACTTTCGATCTAAAATATTTTCAAGATGGCTGCCACTTCCGGTCTACCGGAAGTAGACCATAACTTCGTTATTTTAAATGGAATGCTATAGTTTTTATTGCACCCTTTAATTGTACGTAAAAAAATATGTTGACTTTCATAAAAGTTAATGGTACCTAGCGTTTTTCGTCTTCGAGTTATTTTGATTTTAAGCTTTTTTTGGCAAATTTCACCATGCTCTTTAAAACCTTAAATCCCAGCCAACGTTCATTCAAAAAAGCTCTAAATTGGCACGATTACTCTTCAGATGCTGTCAAATAGATTGTCATATATTGTATCAGAGTATCTTATACAGGATGGTCAAAAATTGAATTACCGTTTCTCCATATTCAATGGGGAAAAAGTCGAAATTTTTTTTTTTCGTGTAGGCTAATAAAATATGGGGCATATTTTATTAGCCTACACGAAAGGAAATTTAATGCTCTACAATTTATCTATAAACATTCCTATATTTATTTATTGTAGTTTCTCTCATATTCTTAAATTTATCAAAACATGCAGAAAATGCAGGAAACCGTTTGTATTTTTATTAGATATCGATATATCCAGAACTAATAAATTCTTTATCAACTTTTTGAAATTTTTCCTTGTGATGGGCGTTAGGTTTGTTAGGTATCTCTCATTAAGTGATCGACACGTCTTGTGCGAAAGTTTATTACATTCGCCATCAATACAAAATAAATTTCAAATATCGGCGGTGGAATAATTTACCATGATGTTCAATAACGTCAAATGTAACTAATGGCAACAATAATACAAACATGGATAAAAAACTGTCAAAATTCCATAGCTTTCTAATAAAAAAACCTGTATTTCGTGCATGTTTTAATAAATTTCGCAATATAAGGCAAACTACAATAAATAGGTATGGGAATGTTTATAGATAATTTGTAGAGAATTAAACTCTCTTTCTGATAGGCTAAAAAAATATGGGGCCTTCCATTTAAAGTTTTCGACATTCTCGCCATTGAATATGGAGAAACAGTAATTCTATTTTTGACCATCCTGTATAAGATACTCCGATACAACAAATGACAATCTATTTGACAACATCTGAAGAGTAATCGTGCCAAAGTAGATCTTTTTTGAATGAACTTTGGCTGAGATATGGAGTTTTAAAGAGCATGTTGAAATTTACCAAAAAAAGTTTAAAACCAAAATAACTCGAAAACGAAAAACGCTAGGTACCAATAATATTTATCAAATTTATCATGTAAAATGGTCTACTTCCGGTAGACCGAAAGTGGCGGCCATCTTGAAAATATTTTAGATCGAAAGTTCTGAATGAACAACCCATGCTACCAAAATTTCAAATCTCTACGAATAGTGGAACTTGAAAAAGTTCTAACGAACCAGTTACGTGAGACACCCTATATATTTGTTATCAGAAGAAAATAACAAATTATTTTAGGTCATAGCCAACTATGGTTTCCATTTAAAAAAATAAAGTTACGTCTAAAATCTCAAAAATAAAAGATGGGAAAAAAATTCTACCTAGGCCACTGAATTCTTCGTAAAAAGTTGCCCATTTAATGTTTTATTTATAATACTCCATCTTTGATAATAAGTGAGATATTCGCGATTATCGTTTTCGCAGAATTTTCAGTTTTTGCCGATAGGGCGAAAACAAAAGACGATAGCTGTTCGGAGTTTTCGGTATTAACATTTTCTCGAAAAACGAGATCATGACATGTAAGCTACTTTTTTCTATCTCTATTAGTTTCGGAGATAGCCTATACGGACATCAAAATTGAGACACCCTGTACATTGTAAGGAATTATAAAGAAGACGATTTTTGTATTGGAATTGAGATTTCTACCGCTTGATTTATAATAAGTAATAATTAATGATGTACGAAAAAATACATATGTAATAAAAACTGTTATTGTTTCTCTATATTTAAATCAATAATTAAAAAATATTAGCAAGTGTGTTCGGTATATTTAAAGGTTTTTGTGACATTTTGGCAAATAGAATCTTTGACCTCGCACGTCACCGAAACCGGCCAAAAAGAAACCGGAAATTGGACACTTGGAACGTATTCTTGGGGTTGTTTATGCGTCCAAGGCGTGGCAGTGAGTTTCCAAGAAGCCGGTGCAGAGTCCAAAGTGCACGTATTTCATTCAGCGGCCGTTCTGTAGGTCGGTCGATGAACACAGATGAACCCAACAGAATCCCGGTTGTCATGGGAACGTCAGGACTCTCTTCAAGACAGATGCTATATTTCATGGACACGTATGAAATTAGTCTCTCTTTTATCGCAAGGGTTAATAAAACAACTAAAAAATTAAAGGAAAACGAAAAAATATAAACTATCTTATTTTATTTTCTTTAATATACGTCACGTACAATATTGATAAAAGTATTTAATATACAGAAAAATGTTGTACTCGACGGTTTTTTTTGTACCTGAGATTTCCTGAACTAGTATAGGTATAGTTTGTTTTAAAAATCTGATCTTCATGATTAACCCACCATTAAAAAATAAATTATTAAATAAATATTTTTAATGCGATTTCAGGTACTATATAGGGTGTTTTCACTAAAACTAATGCAACTATAATATCCATGAAACACCCCGTATTAATATGTTACTTAAAAGTAATTGTTGATGAGGTAGAAAGTTGTATCAAATCTATAATTGAAAAAAATTAAAAATCTAAAACTTAAATTTATAAATTTATACTTAAAAATAATTATTTTAATCATTGTAGTTCGCGTGTATGAAATAATTTCTATCGATTTTTTTTATACCAAAAATAATCAAAAATTAAATAAACAAAATATAAATCGTTCACCGAAAAAATTAATAGTGTAATAATTTTTATAATATCAAATAAATAATAAATTTTTTACAAGAACTACATCGCGAATTCGAAAAAAAATTTCAAATTTGGGTTGCTAAAAATTCGAATATCGAATAAATATCGATATTAATCGTTTAAAATCTGAACAACTTTCAATTTAAAAAGAAAATTATTAAGATTTTTTTTTAAAACAATATAATAGGAAAAAAATACTTGGTAACTATTTTAGGATAATCTTTTTTTTTTGTTAAATGAGAACACACATGGCTTAAAAAATATATAAATTAATTATTAAGTACTTATTATTTAATGATATAGTTCCAAAAAAACGCTTAATTAGTTAGTAACCCCAACTTTCTAAACGATCGGGTAAACCATTTCTTCCATTCAAATTCGAAAAAAATAATTCACCCAAACAAGTCTTCGTTCACAGCACGATATGTAAATTCGTTAATCGCGTAAAGTACAAAATATCGCCTTTTTAATGGGGTGTAATTAGAAAAAAAAATTCAATCGAAATATTTAATTAATCAAGTTTAAATCGAGCGGCTTCATCGATAAAACTGAACGCCGCAACCATTGTTATTCCTGAAATTCCTCTTCTTGCTCGGAGATGGCGGCACAAATCTCTTTACCATTTTGAGAAGTTTCCTTTTTTGGTTTTTTCTCGTCCGATTTCTTTGGACAATCCGCTATTAGATGGTCCACACTTTTACAATTGTGGCACTTTTTTGGTTGTGGACCCAACGAACACTTTGCTGCCACGTGATTTGCAAATTCGCCACAATTATAACAACTAAAAATTAAAAAAATATATATATAAATTTTTTTAAAGCTATAAATATGTTGTTTTTTGAAATTTCTTTAAAAATTGTAGTCAAAAAATGATGAATAATGCCAAGTTGGCATAAAACCAGTCAATAGAAACTGAATAATCAAATTACACTCAACACATATTTTGGTATTGCAAATTTTTGGTTATATTATTTATATATTATATTATTACAGCCTTGCAAATTATTTTTAGAGAATGTGGTTGAAATAAAGAATGATGTTCATACTTATGGCAGACATAATCATGTCTGTACATTTGATATTTTGGATTAAATCTAGTAACCACAACGACTGCTGTTAGTTATATCCTGATTTAGAACCTTTGTAGGCTCTAACCTCATTCAACCACTTCTAGAGATTTCTGAATGCAAACATAATCACCAGGCAATCTCCAGTTGAAGAGTTGCAATCTAAATGATCTAATAACAGATGTTGGTTTTACAAAAAAATCTTCCTGATTTATTTGCATCTAACTTGTATGAGAAGATACAGCTTAAATAGCAAAAGCGAAAAGGACTCTTCGTAATAACAATCTTGTATTTTGCCATGATATTAAACAACATTGAATAGGAATTGAGCTTCTCAAGTGCTATTTAAATGATTAGCGCCAGCTTATTGGCTGTTCTCAGTCTAATTTAAAAATTTGTTAAAAACATTGGGATCAAAATTTGGTACAGCTCTTGCATTCGATTAAAATGAAGGTAAAGTATGACAACACAACATTGGTGATGAAAAAAATAAAATGTAGTGAATATGGAGTCAGTTTTTAGTTGAACAAAATAAAATTATTTTTCCACCTTCACATACAAAGTTAGGGTTGATAAAGAAATTGGTGAAAACCCTTAAACACAACGTATAACATTTGCCTACTTAGGGTAAAAATAATCAAACTAACATAAGTACCCAAAAATATAAGCTCGCATTCTTGATAATAAAATAAGAAATAAATAATAAGAAAACTAATAAATGATCCTGCTTCCGCTGAACCTTTTAGTATACAGTCCAAGTATGTCTAAATGTTCCCAACTACATAACCGTGTGTCTAAATATCCCTAACTGATGCCAAGTGTGTCTAAATGTCTCCAATGGATTCCAAGTGTGTCCAAATCTCCTCAACTTATTAACACAACATTGATTACAATGTTGAGGACATTGGCATCAGTTGGTTACACCTTGTACCAAATTCAACCATAAAATTACAGGCTCTAACAATTTTTCTAACAATTTTCTTACAAATTGTTATCATAAAACCGTTATCACAAGAAATGTAAAAAGTCAAAACAATTTTCAATATAACGGCATAAATATTGAGATGAAGAACAAATCAATTGAAAAAAAATTGAAAATTCAAGTTCAACCCCAATAGGACTTTTTCATTGAATACAACTTTATTTATCATTAGCAACCTCATTGTAACAATCCCAATACGATACATAAAATCTCTTGTTGCAGTTTCGTCTAGTTTTCTTCTCTTCGCTTCTAATTCATCATCACATTCATTACTAACAGAATTGTTGCTGTTATCACTTTCGATTATTAATTAAAGTATCCTCTTTTTAATGCAACAAGCCGTTTTGAAAAATCGCTTTTAGTTTTTGAGAAATAAATTTTTGAAATGATCGAAAATTTTTTCGAATTTTGCAATTTTCGCCGATTAAGTTTTAAAAATTCGTATAAAATCCATTTCTTGGAATATGAGTATGAAAATTTCCCAAAGTGTTAATAAAAGTGTCCTCTTTCCAATGAACCAACCCGTTTTGAAAAATTACTTTTAGTTTTTGAGAAAACACTATTTGAAGTTTTGATAAAATTTTCGATATTGCAATTTTAATCGATAATTTTCAAAATTCGCTATAAAATTCATTTCGAAAATAATTTTATTGAGGTTGTTTGTAGTGGTTAAGGGAGATTAATGAAATTCTCTACGTACTTTAAGTAAGAAAGAGCTGCGCATGAGAAACGTTACTGAAGGACTGAACCCAATGTGTTACAAAATCGCAAATATCGCTGTCATATTCAGTTTTAAAAAAATGTATCCTCATTATAAGAACCACACTGTATACAACGGCTGTTTATCTAGTACAGCCTTTCTTAACATTTAGATAAACATTAGTCTTGATGGAACATCCCAAAGAAATGGACAACCTAGCATCCTTAGCAATTTAATAATAAGTACCAAGAAAAGAGATCAATAACATAAAAACAACTATGTCAATTGACATTACATAGTAAAAAGCATTGGAGAAGTGCCAAGTGCTTTTAAGCCGGTACCTTAGAATAGAAGAACAATTATAAATGCATTGGAGGAGAACAATACTACTAATAAGTTATTAAGAACAAAGCTAGAGGTTGCAATGGATCGCAACGCATCCTCAAAAGATCTTGTCCTATTGGTGAAAATTCTATTCTTTACTATTAAGTTGCATCTTCACTCAGAAGAAGGATATAAGATTAAATATAACGGCTGCAAAAGCTTTGAATGAGAAGCCCTGAAATATGAACGTTTTGAAAACAAGTGATTCACAATGATAATGAAATTATGAGCAAATGTTAAAAAATTAAGAATATACTATAGATTAGGACACTAGAAACCTGGCAGCGCAGATGGAATGATCAAGATAGACAAAGTCATTAAGATCGTATATAAAACGTTGGATCATGGGAAGTTGGGGAGAGGTTGATTACTATCTCAAGAAGTTTTCAACTAGTCATGATATGTTTTAAGATCCTTCTATAAAATAAAAACTTTGTAATTTAAAGAATGTTGGTACAAAAATTCGTCAATATATTTGTGTTTCGATACAAAACGAGTCCGTGGCAGGAAATAACTCAAAAGAAGAACTATTCACGATTTCTGGGATGGAAATGATTAAAAAATAAAAGAAGGGGTTTACATTATAAATAATAGACGTTACGCTTGAAAGACTCAGTGTATTGAAAGGTGTTTCCGTTGAATAAAATTGATGGCAAAGAGGATTTTAAAGTAGACACTCATTCCTTATGAATGGGGAGGCAAGCCCTGAGGAAGGCTTTAGATGGTCGGAGATTAGAACAGCGATAAGCTGTTTTAGCGGGAAAATAGTCTCGTTTAACTGCTGTATTAAAGCAATCTATAAATCATTTAGAAACTTGAAACTTTAACAGAAATATTATAATTACAGTAAATTTCGATATAACTGACTCTATTTAATACATCGGTATATTTAAATATTAATGTTAGCGCTCATAGATAGAATCCATCTTGGGTATTCCCCGAGTTGTGTATACAATGTATAAATCAAGAACGGTAGTTCTAATTTTAATTATTATTCAGCACTAGATTGTCTCAATTAAGGACTTGTTAATTAAAAGTGTGAAATAGTAGTTGCCTACCCATGCGTGACGTCACGAACGGGCCTTCGACTTGCGCACCTGTTCCCGAGATGTAGCAGACCATTAAAATAATTTATTCAAACACACTTTTTTCTATAACTTACACTCCTTTCCCCGTATTAATTCGTTATATCGATATTTTGCTGTATTATTACTTTTGAAACAACCTGTATAATTTCTAAAAACTTACCGTATCTTTTTGAATCGTTTCTTGGAAACGGGTCTCCTATTGGACCCCCTGCAATCTGAATTTTCAGGCCCACACACCCTTACCGCTTCAAGACCCTTCTCAGTTACTATTGACTCAAATTCCACTTCTTCTTGGTCACCCAACGAACGAAATCCAGACATTTGTATAACGCTCTAAGAAAACGCGATGTTTATTTTAGTTTGAATATAAAAAAAAAACTAGTTTAAATCAAAATACTATTCTAATAAATTTAAGGTATTCTTAATTAAATCTATTGTAATATTCATTTGACGTTATTGAAGAAGCGGCGTTAGGGCTTTTTAATGTATGTAAATTTAAACAAGAGGAAGTAAAGGTTTTGAAGGTGTAAGTGAAACCCTTTATACTATGAATAGAATTAAAATAATAAACGAGGTTTGATTGGCAGTTTTTTTTTGGGGAGCTATAACTTAGGGTTCGGTTGGTTTCAATTACCTGATGTACGAAAACATCTTGACCGCCGTCATCTGGGGTGATAAAACCCCAACCTTTTGCTACATTAAACCATTTGCATTTCCCTTTTCTTAAACCGGGTGTTGATCTTCCACCTTGACTTACATTTCCAGTATCAGAACCTTAAAGAAAACACGGTAATCATTAAATAAATATTTTTGAGATAACGATTTTTAAAAATTTGTTGGTTGAACGACCAAAAGAGCCAGGTATAAGTTACCCTTAAGAAAAAAAATTCCAACCCTTCGTTCGAGCCCGTTCGTAGTAGAGGTTTTTATATCCTCAAACGGGCCCTTTGTGAGCGGTTCAAACTAAGGAACAGGCCTTTCTTCTATTAGGTCGGTGTCTAGTTTTGCCTAGGACTCGTATCCCTTTTGTTTGCGTTCTCTTGTCCCGGTGCAATTGCAATATAACCGAATTTCTCATTCGAGACTGTACGAAAAGAAATTCAACAAAGAAAACCGACAAAAATTATTGAGTTATTAAATTAATCAAGTTTAAATGATGATTTTAATTAATTCTATTTTAAAAAATACTTGGGTTAAAAAAAATTAGATTATAAGCATTTCAAAAAAAAAAAAACAGAGTTTGTTTTGTCCTACTTAACATTATATCTCAAACATATCGAATGTCGCCTTTGTGCGTAAAGAAGAAACGAAGAGAAATAAAACACCAAACGAGTCACTCACCTTTTCCGTTTTCGAGTTTTTCCTTCTCCATCGAATTAAAACAAAAACCACTTAAAAAACGAAAATTTAATAAACCAAATTTAAACTATTTCAAAAATTAATAAAAAAAAAACTATAAATTAATTATTTTGGAATTTCATTTCATAATTTCCCGCGTTTGTAAAGTTGTTGTTCCGTTAGGAGCCGTCCGTACGGTCTAATGCTTCTATTTGAACTACTAGAGAGGCGAAGAAAAAAGTGGAGGCCCGACCGAAAGTTCCCTTAAAAAAAAAAAAAGAACCAACCGAATTAACGCTTTCGGCCCTACGACGCTTTCTCATAGGGGACACTGTCGGTTGAAAACTATTTTACTACTACTAGACGTAAGAACCATTCATAAGGCGCCCGCGGAAGTGATTAAGCGTACTATGCGAAGACGTTAACTTGATAATGAAGTCTACAGTTTAGTTAATTAGATTGGAATTTTAATGTTTTTGGAAATGATTTAAAAACAATTTGATTACTATATTCTAAACCAAATTATAATACAATAGTCATAATTTTTATTTCGAAATGCCACAAAATAAAAATATTTAAGGGACAAACCTCCGTCTCTTTAAATTTTTTAGATCAATTTAAATGAATTATAAATTTAAAAAAAAAACAGTAAGAAGCTAAGCAGGGAGAGGAGGGTTTCGTCCAATAAAAAAGATAATCCATTCCAGACAGAACGTCGCTCCTTTATTTTACATATATAAAGAAATAAAGTCGCGACGTCCTGTCTAGAACACACATCAGCATCATCTTTTCCGATTGGGCGGAACCCTCCTCTCCCCGTATCCAATATGTATACTATTTGTGCAATAAGTTTCTTATAAACTTTGTAGAAACAGCGGTTAAATTTAGATTACATTGACAAAAAAATCTTTGTGCCACTGTTACTTGAAAATATTGCAAAATGTTAAGAAATTTGATTTTTCAGGTGTAAACATTAGTATACCGCACTTCCAACAATTTGGAGTACTACACTTCAACAAGCAAGACTTAATAATATGTTTAACATAGAAAAGTGCCTGAAATATAGAAGATTATACATTACATCTCTTATAGTGTTAATAGTAACTGTAAAAAACTTAATCTCTCTCCCAAAATAGCGATATAGTCATAAAGAAAACATCGATTCTCTTATATACATACTATTAATTACAACTCATATATCAATATAAATGAATAAAATATAGAATGAAAAGCTAAATGTCTATGAATGAATTAAGTTCATCCACTTGATTGAGATAATCAGTCATGTTATTATGTTTTATATATATTATAATCAGCGGACAAGCCAATGGGAGTTGGTTTTTGTGTAATGATTTAATTGCTTTTTGATTGTCGTTTCTGGGCAAACAAATTCGTTTTTCCTGCTTTATATGATGCAAGTTTTATCTGAAACCTTTTTCGGTAAAACTGACGGTTTACGAATTATAAGGTTGTTTCAATTTAAATACCTCATCCGGTATAATGAATGAAATCGTTGAAGGGCGTCATGTAGTCGGTAATGTTGACTGTAACAGCACTGTTTAGTGGTTTAGATGCGTATTGTAGATAAAAAGATAAAATTGAAAATGTACAAGTCCCAATATTAACATATACCAGTGAATCATAGACACTCCAAGATAAAGAAGAAGAAAAAATCACAGCAATGGAAATGAAATTTTTACGGAAAATAGTGGGGAAGACGAAGTGCGATTGGATAAGGAATGAGGAAATAAGACTGGGAGTAGATCAAGAGGAGATAATCAACAAAATAGAGAAAAAGCAACTAAGAGGGGAAGACCTAGGAAGAAGTGGGAGGAAAGAATAGTTGGAAAGAAGAGACTCTAGCAGATATAAAGGAATTAGGCAGGAACCGGTATAGATGTAGGAATAGGAAAAGATTTATCCGACGCTATCAGGCATAAGGATCAGGAGAAGAAGAAGAAGAGAATGTGTATTGTCGTGTTGGTGAAGGGTGCAGATAATTTTAGCCAAATCGGCATAAACGCCAAAATAGACACTTTTTATTTAGCTACACCGTTGAACAGGATTTTTAATTCTGCATCTGTAATCACAATATTGGTTTAAAGTTTTTTTTTGTTTTCTAAAAAATGAAGTATATGTCGTTTATTCCATTTTGGCTTAGCAGCATCGATATCTCCTAGATTTGTAAGAAAAACATATCTCACCATTCTTTGTAACCTTCAAATAACGTTGACGCTTAAATTTATGCACAATCTATGTGACCAATGATATCTATCATATACATAAATACTTTGTTAGTTTACCAACTTGTCTACAAAATTGTCGTAAGCTGTCTTTATATACACTTGCTAATTGTATAAATGATTTGTCCTAACATTGATTCTTGCCCAAATCTTGATACCATATCTTGTTGCCTTGTATTTGATGTATGGTCAAAACCGGTATTTATCTATACAAGTGATTAATTATTTACTAATCATTTAAAGTTAAGAACATGCAAAAGCCTTTATACAATTTTAGTTCAAGTTTCAATTTTTGTTCTAGTTGTCTTATCTTCTGGCTTTGTTATAACATCAAATTTATTGAATTTTGAAATTAATTTAAATCTAGTTACATAAATGGGAACTGTGAAAAAAGTAGCTGCGATGAATAGATGACGTGTCTTGTCCACACATCTCACTAGAAGAATCCCTTAGATTTCGCAGATGATAAGAATTGCTGTGGTAAGAAATTCTTTGAAAGAATTCAGTTCCAGAACAGACTTTGAAACGGTAATCCACATGGAATGTAACCCTCTAAAATTTTCGATGTTGCAATTTTCATCAAAATTAGCTATAAAATTAATCTCTTGAAGGATCCTTGTGGATATATCACCAAATGTTAATTAAAGTATCCTCTTTTTAATGCAATAGGCCGTTTTGAAAAATCGCTGAAAATAATCGACAATTTTTTCGATTTTTGCAATTTTCGCCGATTAACTTTTAAAAATTCATATAAAATCGATTTCTTGGAATATGAGTATGAAAATTTCCTAAAATGTTAATAAAAGTGTCCTCTTTCCAATCAACCAACCCGTTTTGAAAAATAACTTTTAGTTTTTGAGAATACAATATTTGAAGTTTTGATAAAATTTTCGATGTTGCAATTTTTATCGATAATTTTCAAAATTCGCTATAAAATTAATTTCTTGAAGGATCCTTGTGGAAATATCACCAATTATTAATTAAAGTATCCTCTTTTTAATGCAAAAAGCCGTTTTGAAAAATCACTTTTAGTTCTTGAGAAATAAATTTTTGAAATAATCGACAATTTTTTCGAATTTTGCAATTTTCGCCGATTAAGTTTTAAAAATTCGTATAAAATCCATTTCTTGGAATATGAGTATGAAAATTTTCCAAAGTATTAATAAGAGTGTCCTCTTTCCAATGAACCAACACGTTTTGAAAAATAACTTTTAGTTTTTGAGAAAATAAAATTTGAAGTTTTGATAAAATTTTCAATGTTGCAATTTTCATCCTCTTAAAAAGACTATATCTTCTTGATAAATGTTAATTAAGAAACGATTCTTATACCAATTTAAAAAGAAGATTTCATACTTTTATTTGATGTATAAATCAGTTCTTAGTTCCTAAAGATACGGGAGGCAAGAATTTTTAAAGTTTGGGTACGATTTTAATATTTTTCTTCCCTTAAAAATCAATACATTTCTAAAACATTGTAACTAATTTATTAATACACTTTAAGAAACGATTTTCTTATCAAATTAAAAAGAATATTTTAAAGTTTAATTTGTACTATAAACCATTTTCCAATTTCTGAAGTTTGTGTTAGAAATTACTATTTCCTGATTAACACTCATTTCAACGTAATCTTTAACAAAGTGTATCTACTAGGTTAATATTGACTAAGTATTGATTATTATATTTTGATTATTTCTTAGTTCCTAAAGATACGGGAGGCAAGAATTTTTAAAGTTTGGGTATCATTTTAGTATTTTTCTTCCCTTAAATTAGAATTAGAATTGTTTCGTGAGTTAAATCAGCATCAAAAAAGCTTTGTTATTAATTTCATTTTTATTCAAATATCGCAATAATGTGGCAATGTAGGGTATCACTTCAGAAATGCACCAGAAGTTATAACCATAATGGCCAGATAGATATGCCGGATAACCGGATATCCGGCCGAAGGGGTTGCCGAATATGTGGTATCCGGTTTATCGCAAAATCACTATCCGTTCCATCACTAATACTCAGTATCTATAGAAATCGCCAAAAATTGCCTCTCATCTCTGAAGTTATTTCTCCCAAATTGTCTGCATCGATTGTTGTTAACCATCATATGCAAAATAAGCACCTATTTACGTAATCCTGTGCTGATTTTGATAAAATACTAAAAAGCAAATAGCTGGACTGAACGTGTAGCTGAATTAAACGTTGAACGTAATAGGTAAAAATTATCTAGAGTCATAACTTACTATCAAAACCCCAATAAACTATAAAGAATGACACTCGTATTTTATCTAACCTGAGAAGGATAACAGAAGTGACTATTACATTATTTTAAATTTCCTATTTCATTGTAAATCGTCATAATGATAAGTTATAGTGAGACATCATCATAAGTTATGGTCCCTCATTCCATCATCAGTAGTTCAACGAGTAGTTATCTCAAAGTATTGGTACAGAAGGAATCGCAGTTATGTTATTATCTTCAAAGCTAAGAGATGTCAACTCAACACATAATTAAGAGATCAATTCAAGATCATCATTTACTTAAAATGTAGATGCTACTGAAGTAGAGACTATTTCGGCTTTAAAGTGTTACTGGTCACCAATTATTGTAGATTGAATGATATAGATATCAGAAATAAGGACACCAAATCCTTGTTTCGCTGAAGAACATTTCTGATTTATATCGTATCAAACCAGAAAAACTGCTGTCTATTTACTGAAATTNATCGACAATTTTTGCGAATTTTGTAATTTTCGCCGATTAAGTTTTAAAAATTCGTATAAAATCCATTTTTTGGAATATGACTATGAAAATTTCCCAAAGTGTTAATAAAAGTGTCCTCTTTCCAATGAACTAACCCCTTTTGAAAAATAACATTTAGTTTTTGAGAAAACAATATTTGAAGTTTTGATCAAACTTTCGATTAGAATTAAATCAGTATCAAGAAAGTTCATTTTGTATCTTGGATCCAAATAAGTTGACATATCTTATCAACTTCATTCTTCTTATTAATTTCATTTTTATTCAAATTTCACATAATGGCCCGATAGATATGCCGGATAACCGGATATCCGGCTTTTCGCAAAATCACTATCCGTTCCATCACTAATACTCTCTATCTAGATATATCACCAGCATACAGTTTCATGTTTGAACAACCCTCAAATTATCTTAAAATTGCCTCTCATCTCTGAAGTTATTTCTCCCAAATTGTTTGCATCATATTGATGTTAATAAAATACTAAAAAGCAAATAGCTGGAATAACTGAACATGTAGCTGGATTAAACATTGAACGGAATAGACAAAAATTAGACTATGAAGAAGGACACTCGTATTTTATCTAACCTTAGAAGGATAACAGAAGTGACTATTGCATTATTTTAGATTTCCTATTATTCTCACAATTCGTTGCCTGCTATAAATTATTCCATTGTAAATCGTCATAATGATAAGGTATTGTGAGAGATCATCATAAGTTATGGTAGTTGTGCAGAAATACTAAAAAGAAATAAGAATGGACTTAAATAATCCTTTATTCCATCACCAGTAGTTCAACGAGTATTGAAAAGTATTGATACAGGAGGAATCGCACTTTGTTAAATTAAATTTTAAATTAGCAAGCACGAAGCAGAAAAAAAAATAAACACAGAGACTAGATTGGTCCACATAATCATTGATGTTACGCGGATAAAAAACAGAATAATAAGGACCATAAGAAAGGACAATTTTTGTTGCTTTTCTTTTCTGCCCCACTATCTTCTTGCGGGTGGTGGGGCAGAATAACAAATCAATTTAAATATGCTAAACGAATGTGTTTCGATTGAGTAAATCAATTTTACAAGGCAAAAAAGGTAATGACAAATACTTAAAGTTAAAACGGATTTTTTAAACGACATCATCGAATTACAAAAGAGATCAACATTGAAATAATAAACATTGCAACTATACATCAGTCTCAACAGAGGTGAACCGGCATGCGCATTGGATCCAGAAGCAGGAAATGGTGATCGAGTAGCATAAGAAGGAACATTAAAGTGAATCTCCTCTAAAAGAACCGGAGCGTCGTGAACTTCATTAACTAGTTTGTACAGGAACAATAGCCACAGAGAGATCTTGAACCAAACAGCCTGCATCTTTGGAAATAAGGGCAGTAAGGAAGATAAAATTTGTGAGCAAGATAACGGATAAATCTTCTCTGTAGGCCCTCAATAAGGTCGATGTAAATATTATAGGCACGACTACACACTACTGAAGCGAAATTTAAACCGCTAGCGGACGTTAGTAAATGGACAAGAAATCCTAATGATAAATCCTAGGCGCTTAGTAGCTTCAGAAACGATAGAAATAATTGTAGAGGATTGAGTAAGATAATGCGGACCTAGCTTATATATGAAGTTAACATTATATCACAACACTTATCAGGATTTAGAAACAAGTAATTTTGTGAGCAATAAGAATCAAATCTGTCAACATCATCTTGTAACTGAAGTCAGAAGCAGACCTGATGCTAGCAAAAATTTTACAGTCGAAAAGAGAAATATTCGAATAATGAAAGCACTCAAAAACGTCATTTATATAGGCTAGAAATAGAATGGGTCCAAGGTACACCAGATGTAAAGGAAGTAAAACTAGATATGAAATTATTTACTTTTACTGCTTGAAGCCTCTTAGATATATAGGACGAAATCCATAGTAATCCATATTATCTTCGAAGTTAAGATATTGGAACTCGATACATAATTAAGAGATCAATTTAAGATCATAATTTACTTAAAATGTAGATGCTAGTGAAGTAGAGGCTATTTCTGCTTTAAAGTGTTACTGGTCACCAATTATTGTAGATTGGATGATACAGATATCAAAAATAAGGACACCAAATCCTTGTTTCACTAAAGAACATTTCTGATTTATATCGTATCAAACCAGAAAAGCTGCTGTCTATTTACTGAAATTGTCAGAATGTGACATAAGGTGTTCTTGTAATGTTAGCTATGGGCTAGTTTGCTCAACACCTTTTGCAGAAGTGATTTTTAAGGTGGAAATAATGGTATTGCCATCAAATACGCATTTACAAAACTGTGTGTACTAACTGTGATTCGTTATATGTTTTCCACAAAACATTAATCATCATAGATACATTAATCAAAAATCATTTAAAAAAATCTGTATCGATGATAAATCAAAATGGTTCAAAAAATTGGTTCGTGACGATAACACCAAAAAAAATAGCCCTCCAAAAACGGGACATCATTCACTTCATTCACCGAGGGGCGTTATTGATTGCACGGCACCCCAGAGGAAAATATAACGTTGATGACGTCATAATCGACGCCTCGTACGGATTGGTCGCGGCGAAGCGACGCCTTCGTTATGTTAGGGATGGCGTCGAGAAAGACATCCAATTTTTGACAAAATTTTTTTCCATTTCAAACACTTGAAATTAACAATTTCATCGATTCGATTTAATTATAAGGTAAGTTTTAATAAGACACTTCCGGTGGGTGGGTGGTTGGTGGAAAATGATCGAATTCTTAAAATTTTAATTAAAACTAAGTTGGTTTTAAAGTTGGGAATTAAAAATGCTTAATATAGTGGGGTTTAAACAAAGGGGTTGTTTATGTAAGGCAGGAAATTAGAAATTTTTTGGTTTTTGCAAAAATAAAAAATACCGTGGCTAATTTGAAATGGGGGGTTTTGGTAAATAAAAAATGAGGTGATTGTATTTTTTGACAAGGTCAACCTCAAATGTGTTTGAAACATGTTTTTTTATAGCTAAAAAAATCACCCCTACAAATAACCTACCTGTTTTATTATATTTTTTTTTATTATTCCTTCAAATCTACATCAATAAAAAAGGAGGGAGTCATTCATAGAAATATCACTTTTATTTTTAATAATAAAATAAATAAATAAATAAAAATTGTTTTTTTTTTAACTTACCTTCATCATAATCGTGTTGGTGCGCCATTTCGACCCCACTATCAATATCAGGACTTAAATCAGACATCGAATCACAAAATTTTAATGAAAATCACTTAAAAAAAATTTTAAATATATTTTAGAACGAAGCGAAAAAATGGTTCCGTACAGAATGGAAAAGGTGACACATTAGTCGGAAACGAACCACGAGTTTGCAACTGTAGGGTGGCTGTCATAAAGGGCAAAGGGAGAGGTGGGTTCACACCCCCACCCTATACTATTTTTCGCTTTCTGCCCGTTCTTAGTTGTTCCGAGAGGGTGAAAACGTTACTGGTGATTTAATCTCATCTTCTTCTTTTTTAGGCTTCCCCGGATAAAAAAAAATGGTTTCAGAAACCGTAAAAATGCGATAAAATAAAATTTGTTTATTTTTTGATAATGTAAAAGACTTTTTTGGTTGTATTTTGAAGAGTGGTGAAAGGTGGTAACCACGCCTTATGTTTTTGAGGGTTTGTGCCCCCTTTTTTCTCGTATGCAGAAAGATCGCCCCCGATTCGAGGAATATGGGGAGTTGTTTACCTGGTAATAGAACGATCAATCATAATTCAATAACCTAGAAGACATTTTCTAGGGTATGGCAAATAAGGGTGGTTTTCGATTTTTATATAAATGATAACTTTATAGTTTAAATAAACAAATTAAAAAAAAAGAATAAATATGTATTTTAAATATCCTGAATCTTGTACATTGCTATATCACACTCACAATATACTACAAATAAGTCGCCGACGATGCTTATTTTTGCTACATTTGCTATATTTGCTGCAATAGCAAAGGTGACGTCTAAGTATGATAAGAAAAGACTTTTCGTCTCTTGGATGATTAAACATATTCGGTCCATACTTTGTATGCTAGCATCTCTTCTGATATTAAAAAGTTTATGCGAAATGATTAATATATGGTAAATTAATTGTTTTTTAAAGATAATGTTTAGATAAAACAGCAGAATATCCACTGGACTAGATGACCATAACACTTATGTATATCGTAGTTATTGAGGAAAGAGATGCACTAAATTTAGCACGTATTGAGAGTTTGTGCACAGTTTGTATTCTTAGACTTTTCAATCAAAATAATATTAGATATAGATCAGATTTTAGGCAAATGGAAAAAATATTAGAAAATGAATGCATCAAGTAGATCTTATTTCTTGTAGAAGACTGATACTAGTCCATAAAGTCAATTACGAAAGAAGATCAAAAAATTCGATGATATTTTTATACTACTTTATAAAAAAACTATTTAAGTCATAAGTGCACATGATTCTGTAATGTTCTAGGCACCACCAATTTGTTTTATAGAAAATGACAAAATAGTTTTGGAAGTAGCAGAGATAGGAAAAGAAAGAGTACAAACAACTTTTTCACATCTCTATATGATACTAATAGAGAGCCAAAATTGGAAAAAATAATCAGCGGAAAATAAAATTTTACAGAAACACTATCATTTCAAACTTGTTGAATTGGAGGAAGCGATAAACACACTGAAGAATAAAATAGCTCCAGACTGGAATGAGGTAAGAACAGAAATACTCCAGTATATGGGACAAAAAGGGAGAAAAGTAATGCTAAAAATCTATAAACCGAGATGGAACACGTAGCAAATACCAGAAAAGAAAAACAAATACGAGACTGGAAGAAATCACTAATTGTACCAATTATAGAGATATAACGTTAATCAGTACAGGAATAAAAATATTATTATTAATAAATATTAATACTATTAAATAAGTAAAAATAAAGTACTGAAGGAATTTGGAATGATAATGAACAAGAACAAAACAACAGTCATGGTAATTAGAGAGTGCAGAGATGGACATTAAAATAGAAGGAACACAAATAGAACAAGTGGAAACATTCTAATATCTAGGAGTGACAATAGTGGTTCATAGGAAGTAGAAATAAATAAAAGAATAGCTAAAGCAGTGCAGATATAGTATGCCATAAATAACAAGTGTATTAATAAGAAAGAGATATCACGGAAAACGAAACTTAAGATATACAAGGCTATACAGGTGTCCAGAAATGACGTGTACAACGGAAAACCACAAGTACCTTGACCAAAAATATGATGATTTAACTAAACTTATCTATATTCAAAATTGCTTCGTTTAGTAGCTAGAGGGCTTTGAAAATTCATGATGAATCAAAGATAAAACAAAAAATTGCAATTTTTACAAAAATTGCAAAAAGTAAAGTTATTTATAAACTTTGAAAACAGACAAATTCAAATATGTACAAATATACAGGGTGTTCCATATAAAAATAAATTAGGTGGCGACTTCGTGAAGTGTTAGAAATCTGAAAATATTTTAGTCGAACGCAATTGATAATCTTAAATCTGGATTCTCAATTTTTATTTTGGCCAGAACCCCAGAAACATCTAATGACCGCTCTCGGTGAGACACCTGTATATTTAGGTATTTTAACTTTACTAGTAATGAAAGTTACAACACTGTGTTATGGTCTATGGCACTGAAAACAGTTTATAATGACAAGAAAGGGGTTGATATTGCGTCCGATATTTGCAATCATGCAATTTTGATGACGGTCATTAACAAGCACGTTACAAGAATCATAGAAATACTGGAACTACTAAAATTAAAAATTAGAAGGTCGTGCTTTGAGTTTTGCCATGAAGCGAACTGACGTCGCGTCATATTGCCCACGCTGAGTACTCCATAACCGATGAAGCTAAAGAAGCTCTTAGAAGCGTATTATCAGACAGATTAGCTGCGGAAGGAGAAAATAATCTTTAGGAAGTACAAATGTACGGTGCAGAAATTGCTGATTAGAGGTTTCGGACGTCTTTTTCTGAGCATCTGTGCGCATTTTGCAACAGATTTTCAAGTTCTTTAAAGTTTGTGTCATCTTACTCTAGAAAATTACGCAGTACTACGTAGTACGTACTGTTTTACAACCATTTGTATGTATGTTTTTTATCAATATATATGACATTTCTTGTAAAATCATTCTAGAATCATTATCCCGGTTTAGAAGAAATTCTGCACATTAATTGACCCTGCACGATATCATTACAGATATCCAATTTTAATAAATAAAATACGTTATAAACACTAGAAAAACTATTTATTGAAACCCCACAACCCTAAGGTGGCATACCTTTAAGTTACAGAACTCATAGGAACAAATCTTACACATTAACGCAGTAGTTGAAGAATAAATTCTGAAATTACAATCTTTAACTTTTTGAGCAAACCTCAACTTAATTTAGAAATCCAAATATACGATTAAGTAGCTACAGTACTTGGAGCAGTTACTCTTGATCAATCAAGCACTACACTTTTCAAAACAAATTCGTAAACGCTCAAATTTGTACTTTTAATATTGTACAACTCAATCTAAGTATGTGATTCAAACTCTGAATGAAAATGAATGAAAACTTGATTGTTGGAGAAAAGTCAAGTCAGTACTAAAAACTTCCTAGAAGTTAGTACAAACTGAAATTATTGACAGAAATCAATGCAATCATAACTGATGATGTAAGCTGGTGGTCGATGATAAAATATTACACCAACAAATGAAATTCATATATTTGGGCATTGAAATATCTGGATACGGGGATATTGAGACCGAAGTAAGGAATCAAGCTGCAAGAGCGGCAAGGACAGCGGCGTACCTAAATGATGGAACATGGCGAAATAAACATATTAGAAGTGAAGTCAAAACCCGGATATACAAGATCGCAATTAGATCTATATTAATATACGCAGCAAAGACTCGAGCAGAAACATTCAAAATAACAGAATGCTAGAAACTACAGAAATCAAAATAATGCGTAGAATAGTTGGGAAAACATTGATGGACAGAGAAAGAAGTGAGAACATCAGACAGGTTTGCAGGATACATAACATCAATGATTGGGTATTGGAGAGAAAGAAGAAATAGAATGAGCACATCAACCAAATGACAGAAATATGAAGAAAAATAGGCAGTTATGCCTAAATACAGATAACTGATTCTTGTATAACAACATAACTGATGTGATATTCTCACCATTTTAACATTTAAGCTAATTAGTAGAAAATTATTAATATTACTAACATTAAACTAAGATTAGAACTAAAACTAGAAACTGTCGGGTTTTGCCGTGCGTCTTTTAATAAAAGGTTTGACGTTTCGGATGCCATGTTGCAACCTTCTTCAGAAACTGGTTCGAAGTGACGAGATCAAAAATCGGTAACTATATATAAGTCGGAAAAACTAATTAATAATCAGTTAACGCTAATTACAAGCTAATTAATAACTAATTGCGTCGCGTCCGGTGTGAGGCGGGAAGAGGTCTTCGTGTTCACCACCATCTTCCATGTTCTGCTAAGCTCCCAGCCATCCTCTCTGTTGACGTTATTTTTATGTCGGTGGATCTCTATGGCTTCTCTTGTCAGTCTTTGGTAGTATCTGTTGTCCCTAGCCAGCACCTTTGTTTGTTCGAAGTCTATTCGGTGCCCCTCTGCATGGCAATGTTCCGCAACCGCCGACTGCTGGATCTTCTTCAGCCTTACATCCCTCTCATGCTCCTTGATGCGGCACTCGACGTTGCGTCCAGTTTGGCCAACATAAACCTTCCCACAACTACACGATAGTCGATAGACTCCCGCTCCTTTTAATGGAGTTAGTTTGTCCTTGGCTATCGGGAGTGTGTTCC